CACTGTCTTGACGTTGAACATCTCTGTGGGTAACGTTAACAGTCGGGCTGGAAGTCGGTACACTGACTTGACGTTGAACATCTTTGTGGGTAACGTAAACAGTTGGGGCTGGAAGTCGGTACACTGTCTTGACGTTGAACATCTCTGTGGGTAACGTTAACAGAAGGGCTGGAAGTCGGTACACTGACTTGACGTTGAACATCTTTGTGGGTAACGTTAACAGTTGGGGCTGGAAGTCGGTACACTGTCTTGACGTTGAACATCTTTGTGGGTAACGTTAACAGTAGGGGCAGGAAGTGGGTACACTGTCTTGACGTTGAACATCTTTGTGGGTAACGTTAACAGTTGGGGCTGGACGTCGGTACACTGTCTTGACGTCGAACATCTTTGTGGGTAACGTTAACAGTTGGGGCTGGAAGTCGGTACACTGTCTTGACGTTGAACATCTTTGTGGTTAACGTTAACAGTTGGGGCTGGAAGTCGGTACATTGTCTTGACGTTGAACATCTCTGTGGGTAATGTTAACAGTTGGGGCCTGAAATCGGTACACTGTCTTGACGTTGAACATCTCTGTGGGTAACGTAAACAGATGGGGCTGGAAGTCGGTACACTGTCTTGACGTTGAACATCTCTGTGGGTAACGTAAACAGTTGGGGCTGGAAGTCGGTACACTGTCTTGACGTTGAACATCTTTGTGGGTTACGTTAACAGTTGGGGCTGGAAGTCGGTACACTGTCTTGACGTTGAACATCTCTGTGGGTAACGTTAACAGTTGGGGCTGGAAGTCGGTACACTGTCTTGACGTTGAACATCTTTGTGGGTAACGTAAACAGTTGGGGCTGGAAGTCGGTACACTGTCTTGACGTTGAACATCTTTGTGGGTAACGTTAACAGTTGGGGCTGGAAGTCGGTACACTGTCTTGACGTTGAACATCTCTGTGGGTAACGTTAACAGTTGGGGCTGGAAGTCGGTACACTGTCTTGACGTTGAACATCTCTGTGGGTAATGTTAACAGTTGGGGCCTGAAGTCGGTACACTGTCTTGACGTTGAACATTTCTGTGGGTAACGTTAACAGTTGGGGCTGGAAGTCGGTACACTGTCTTGACGTTGAACATTTCTGTGGGTAACGTTAACAGATTGGGCTGGAAGTCGGTACACTGTCTTGACGTTGAACATCTTTGTGGGTAACGTTAACAGATGGGGCTGGAAGTCGGTACACTGTCTTGACGTTGAACATCTTTGTGGGTAACGTTAACAGTTGGGGCTGGAAGTCGGTACACTGTCTTGACGTTGAACATCTTTGTGGGTAACGTTAACAGTTGGGGCAGGAAGTCGGTACACTGTCTTGACGTTGAACATCTTTGTGGGTAACGTCAACAGAAGGGCTGGAAGTCGGTACATTGTCTTGACGTTGAATATCTTTGTGGGTAACGTAAACAGTTGGGGTTGGAAGTCGGTACACTGACTTGACGTTAAACATCTTTGTGGGTAACGTAAACAGTTGGGGCTGGAAGTCGGCAGACTGTCTTGACGTTGAACCGCCAGTAGTAAAGTAGTCGTATTGTTGAAACAATTTATGGATAACACTTTCTTTAGTACTCATTCAGTCTTGCGTGACAACGGTACAAGGATGTATACCGAAACGTCGCTTTTTACAAGATTAAATAAGTTGTTATCCATAAATTGTGTCCACCTTGTCATCCGTCAAATTCACGTTATGCCTATCAAACAATTGTAGTATCAGTATTAGAACTAGCAGAAGGAATCTTACATCACTCAGACCAAACGCTTTGTCTAATGTGTCTCTTGTCTTCTGTATTTGTGTCTTGTTATTCTCCCCATTCCTTGTTGTCCTTGTCACCCTACATCATCTCTTGTACACATGTAAACAATGTATGTAAATACCAAGGAGGGGCGTCCTTAGTTGGATAACTTGTTTCTTATCCTATTCCATTTGTGAACAAACGATGTATATGGTTTACCAAGATCATCTTACCAAGTTTGTTGTGTTGCGTCCCCTAATGTCTAAACGTGCTTCTGAAGTCGCCTATCAACTTTTGGACATATTTCTCCTACCTGGCGCTCCTTGTGTGCTCCAAAGTGACAATGGATCTGAATTTACAGCACAGGTTGTAACTGAATTGAAACTTATGTGGCCCTCATTGGTGATCGTGCATGGAAAGCCTCGACATCCCCAAAGCCAAGGTTCTGTGGAGAGGGCGAACTGTGGCATTAAAGACATTCTAGTTGCTTGGCTTGGAGACAATGACACCAGTGATTGGACTGTAGGACTTAAGTTCGTCCAGTTTCAGAAGAATTCAAGTCTCCACAGTGGTATCAAAACCTCACCATTTGCAGCTCTCTTCGGATCTGATGCTCGGACTGGCCTTGCATCTTCAACCCTGTATAATGCTGACGATTTCAATACCGATCGAACACTCTCTTTGCGTCAAGCAGTTCAACTTGACTCAGTCTGAGGTGGTCAAGGCTTTGTAAGGTGTAATTGTGTTGGAACTAAACGGTGTCAGACCAATCGCTGCAAATGTTTTAAGGCCAAGATGCAATGTACTTCTAGATGTTATTCAAGTCTTTCATGTGCAAACAAACATTCCTGAGTGTCCATCTGACTGCTATTTGTCATACCATTCATGTCATACCATTCGCGTCATACCATTTTATGAAATAAAAGATTGAACTGTTTAAGCTTATTTCTGTGATTTATGTGTAAGGTATCTGGTTACAGGAGGTTGTATTTACTTTGATAGCTAATCTAATTTCAAAACTAGCACACATTATAAAAACAAGGCAGGGATATGCTTTCAGTAAACAAGTATAAAATCCCTTGGTTCATTTCAGTGATTATGTCTAATTACTGAAGATTTCAGTAATTAGACATAAGCACCGAGTGAATCAGTTATTAGACATAATCACTGAAATTTTCAGTCATTAGACTTAATCACTGATTATACTTGTTTCCTGTAACATATATACTACGTATAGCTATATATAAACTATGTATAAACTATGTATAAACGATTTATAAACTATGTATAACCTATATATAAACTATGTATAAACGATGTATGTACTACATATATCTATATATAAACTATGTATAAACGATTTATAAACGATGTATAAAATATGACTAAACGATTTATAAACTATGTATAAACGATTTATAAACGATGCGTAAACTATGTATGTATAAACTATGTATAAACGATGTATAAACGATGTATAACGATTTATAAACGATGTATATACTATGTATATACTACGTATAAACGATGTATATACTATGTGACACACCGTGACATGACTAAAATACTGTTCCAAGCCATGTAAAACACTCACTCACTCACTCGCTAGCTCTGACCAAAGTCGCAACACAATCATTGAGGTGAAACCGGAACTTGAATCCTTAAAGTGAGTGAGTACATCAGTGGGTTTAGAGCTACTGTGAAAAAGTATTTGAGTCGAGGTGTGGTGTTAGAGAAAGCCGGACGTGATACAGTGGGTATGGTTTTACGCCGCTTTTAGCAATATTCCAGCAATATCACGGCGGGGGACACCAGGATGGGCTTCACACATTGTACCCATGTCGGGAATCGAACCCGGGTGTTCGGCGTGATGAGCGAACACTGTAACCACCTGGCTACCCCGCCGTCCCTCCGGCCTAAGACGCTGATGGTGCCACAAGGACCTTATGTTCTAGTGTTATTCTAATGTAAGTCACGTTCATGATCTGGTAAGCGACGCTCTGATTGGTTGGATGAAATGTCGTTCTGACATGACCCCTAATGGGATGTCCACAGATCTTTGTTTAGCGGCAGCGAGAACTAAGATCTGACTTTAATGAGATTGTTCTGTGCGTAAAGCAAAAGTGAGTGGCTGATTATCGTTTTAAGCCGCATCAGAAAATTTCTTTAGTTTTGTTTGTTTGTTGTTTAACACCGCACTCAGCAGTTTTCCAGCAAAATGACGGCGGTATGTAAATAATACAGCCTGGTCCAGACAAAAGAGATTGACATCATGAACACTGATCCACGCAATTGGTATACGATTACATGCATCAACCAAGTCAGTCTGCCTGACCACCTGACCACCTACTCGCCTCTTACGGCAAGCATAAGACCTCTTCTACTCCGGATCTTAAAGGGGAAGTGTACACGCAAAAATCACTTTCTTTCTTTTTCTAAACAAAACGCAATTTTAGAATTAATTAGTATCTGTGTTTGAAAATATACATTCTTTTTTTTACAGTGAAAGTAGGAAGCTCACAATAGTGTGAAAATGATATGCCGTTATGAGGCCTTCGTTTATCGAGCTAAACAGGCCTGAGTTATCCCCCTTAGATTATGACGTAATTGGTGCCCATTCAACTGGGTCCCTGTCTATTCTCAACGCAAAAGATATCAAGTACCAGTTTGCGGTAAAACAACATGGCCTACGACACACTCCGGCGCAGTTGTGACTAAGCATAACACTATGCTGGCTGGCATCTGAGACGCTAGAATCACACACCTGTACCTACACCACGTGAAGCGGCTCTAACAAAGCATGATGACGTCATAATGTTTATCAATTGGCACCAATGACGTCATATTGCAAGGGGCATAAGCCATGGTGTTTTTGTTGTGGAAATAGAACACTTGGTAAATGTGAAAAATATAAATCGTTTTAATGCGAAAAATATGTTGATTAATTGTGATATTTTTATATTTTTGTCTATGACACTTCTAGGTTAACACTTTTAATGTGGAAAAAGTACACGAAAAATAGGTTCATTTCCGTGTGAACTTGCCCTTTAACGGGTCACAGACTATTCATAAAGTAAAAGGGTGCACTCTTGGCTGAAAAATGCTTCCGAGGCTAGCTTAACTTTGGGTTCTCCTTACAAGTTGTGAAATCCACACGCACAGGTCCGCAGTATGGCCGTGACAAACCCAGAACAGTAATCACGTGACTTGTATTTGAATTATTATTGTGTTCCAGAAATTCAATATGGCGGCCAAAATGGCAATGACGTTTCACCAGGTGTCGCACTGCCCGATCTGCAAGGAGGCGATGACGAAGCCGCGCATCACGGAGTGCGGCCACACCTTCTGCCAGGCCTGTCTCAGCACTCACCTGATCTCCAAGGGCGACAGATCCCTTGACCGGAAGGTCAAGTGCCCGCTCTGCAAGAAGAGTCTAAAGATCCCCAAGGGGGGAATAGAGAAGTTCCCCATCAACTACGTGGCCGTTCAGGTGAGAATGGGGTGGTGGGGTATCCTAGTGGTTGAAGCGTTCTCTCGTCACTCCGAAGATCCCGGTTCGATGTAATTTGATTGTGATGTCATTGTAACCGATGACGTCACATTGCTGATGCAATTTCATTGTAGAGATTTCCCCGAGGAAATATTGCTTGATTTCACACAAGCGATATCACGTGTTGGAGCCGGGTTGGGATGACATATCTCTTGTCCGCCATGTTACACTGTGTCAGTATATAACAGTTTCGGTAATTTTTTTCACGGCATTATCATTTTGGTCTACCTTTAGAATACAGTACAACCTTTTCAAACACGTCACAATACCCTATGACGTAATTTGTAGTATTTTGTTGCCAGTCGCATCAGCGAAATAATGCCCTGTGACGTCAGGCGTCATCGTGTGTGCATAAGCTCCCCGTGAGTAGTATAGTCTCAGTCCGCAGAAGGCCATTTTGGTTGAGGGAGGTTGAGGGAAAACAGGGAAGGTGATTGGCTGATCCACGTCACGTGATCGGATAGGATGACTCATGCATCAACAGCGCGTCGGGAAAGGGGGGAATGAAAGGTGTGTGTTTATGAGGCAGAAAAGAATTCATAAGAAAACAAAAGTAAAGGGTTATGAATAGAGCTATGTGTATAGCGTGCTGCCCTAAATAGACAGACCGTACCCGTCAGCCCAGTTTGAATTGAGCGCGCTTTACAACTCACGTGGCCTCGTCGTTTCAAATAACCCGCGCTCGCTAGAGCGTGCGACCTGATTTGATGAATACAGGGTGTGTGTTGAAAGTACATCATACCACAATAGAGACGGGTTGTGTCAACATGATATATGCCGGATAATGTAGGAAAAAAAATAAATGTACGTCTAGCTGGATCAAATTCATCTTGTACGGTCCACAAGTTGTACACCATGAACGTTAGACAACCTGTATGGAAAAGACATAGAAGAAATAGATAAGACTACACAATCAGCAAGCTAGCAGTGTAGTTTACATTTAGCGCGCAACAACGAGGTATTCATGTCACCCTGCATTGACTATAACGCTAATAGATCGTGCATGTTATCTATCAGCACCCCGCAATCTGCGCAAGCCGTGGCCATAGTCATACTCGTGTCTGAATCAGTTTCAATTGGAGTGAGCTGATGTTGGGGCAATCTCTCTTCTTGTGTCAGAGGACTATCCAGAGATTCTGTTGTAGTCAACTTCTCCCTACGCAGATCAGGTTCAGACTGTGCTGTTGGTCTCCTGTTTTCCTCATTTATGAGGTTAACATGCAGTCGATCCTTATCTTTGGTGGTAGGTTTTAGATCGATGGTGAGTTGTCCATGGGGTGTTTCAGCAACCTTTTCATACATAGCCATAAAGTGATCCATATGTTCGGGGAAAATTCTTCGAGCGAAGAGTTTGATTTGCTGTTTATCTATGGGGGAATGAAACAGGGTGACATAATGCGCGTTCAAAGCAATGTCTCTCGATTCCTTACCTCTCGGAAACAGATTTTGTATCAAGAGAAAGATCAATACATTCTTGTGATGTGAGGTTTGAGTAAACAGCCGCGAAATATGCTTGTCGTGCTTTGCTTCGGCCAGGAAATCATCCAGGACCAACACGTTCTGTTGACGAGCATCAAAGTAATCCTCGTCCAAGATATCGTAGGGAATTCCTTATACAAAGGTCAGCTGAGGCAGCTGCTCACCGAGGTACTGATATAAATGCTGCCATTGAGTATAACACCAAACGATGCGGGTAGGTTGGGGTTGGATCAGGCCATGCTGGAGTACATGAGAGGTAAACACAGACTTTCCACAACCACTGGGTCCCACAACGAGCGCATTTGAGGGAATCAGGAACTTGAATTGGTCTCGAAGATCAGATATACATGGTAAATGAGGCAGCCGCGAGTGGACTTGCGATGGAGGCGACGGCGGCGGCGGCGGCGGTGGGGTTAGCGGGTGGGCTTGTAATGGCGAGTGGACTGGTGGCGGCGGGTGGGCTTGTAACGTCGGGTTGGCTTGACACAGCGGCGGCGGTGGGTGGACTTGCAGCGGCGGCGTTAGCGGGTGGACTTGTAATGGCGAGTGGACTTGGGGCGGCGGGTGGGCTTGTAACGGCGGCGGTATGCTATGTTTATTTCTCCTGTGTCTTAACATGACATCTCTCCTTTAAAACATTTTTTCACAGTCCGGACATGTGGCAACCCCCATGGTGATCCAATACGGTGAGCGATTAGAGGGTATGAAGCTTTCTTTTATACCCTTGACTCTGTTGACGCTTCAGGGCAGCAAGTGCCCGTTCCACCACAGCCTTCACCTCCGACATATGTTGTATTTTCACGGGTTGGGGTGTTTTCTTCGATCCCTGTTTGGTTGTCATCGTTTTCATTTTAGGTGTTACCTGTCTCTTCTTTGTCTTCAGCGTCGACTACTTGGCTGCTTGTGGTTTCTTTCTCTGTTGTGATTTTCTCAACGTAGTCTTCCTAAATATATCTCTAGGGTCAAGTCTAATCTCTGAAGCTTTCTTCATGTTGTTCACGTCCAATCCGTTTGCTGGCGAGAGTAAAACTGTTTGTCGGGCTACACTACTGTAGAGTTTATACTGTCTTACAAGTGCAGGGAATATTGGAAGACACTCTTTTCTTCACAGCACACTTGTGACTATGTTAAAAAAGCGATCATGTTAGTATATCGTCTTCGTCATACTACACCCGTGAAGGTCCGGGTTATAGAATCGACCTTCAGTAACCCATGCTTATCGGCGACTGACGGGGATTGGTTGGTCAGTCTCGCCGACTCGGATGACACGTGCCATCGGTTCCTAGTTGCACAGATCGCTGCTCATGCTGTTGATCACTGGATTGTCTGGTCCAAGCTCGTTTATTGACAGACCACCGTCCTAGAGCTGGAATAATGCTGAGTGTGGCGTAAAACTAAATTCATTCACTCACTGATACCAATACATCTAAAAAGTAATGTCATCATTTAAATGGTGAGTTTAAACGCGTATTTTACCCTTACAAGGACGACTGCATTCCACACACCCTTCCTGTTATCAATGTGTCACTGTTTACAGTTCGGACGAACATAACCCTATAGACATGTGTGCGGGCGAGTTCATTCATCAGAAATATGTCATTTACGATGTGTTTATAAATATGAACTGCTAACCACGCTCATAGTCATGTTGCGTGTCGTGGTTAGAACCGTAATTGATCTATTGAAAGGTGTCATACATTCGTGTTCGGATATAGGTACAACATCTACACGCACATACTTTCCTACATCATTCAAATGTATTAAATACTGGATACGTTTAATAGACACCAACGAAAAAAAGGTTTAATGAGGGGAATACCCATATATATCATCTCTGAAATAACTCTCTTTTAAAATAACAAATGTACAACACATCTTCCCTAACATATCATAAATACGGGACACTGGTCACACAATTTATGAATGGGAAGCTTCAGGCGAGGCTGGTATGTTAACATTAATTGTAAGGCCGGGGTATGTTGACATTGTTATGGGCGGTCGGCCGGTCGGTGGCTTAGTCTCTCTGCTAAACATTAGCTATGAATAAACCTGCTTCGACATATATTTCCAATAAAACATTTTCCTCGTCAAACAATTTTCCATGATAAACTCTGTTCTCTCTTCGAATTAAGGGTGAGTATTGTAAAAATGAAAATGTCCTATAGATTGCTTCCAACGTTTTCCCAACAAACCTAGCTTTGTGCCGTCACACTGGTACATGTACTTATCAGTTTTCTATCTATTTTCAAAATAGCACGTTCTGAAGTAAAACTGTGCACATCATGTTACACGGTTAAAACTCAAACCGTAGGGCTTATTTGTCATCGGGTTAAATGGAAAAGCTAGCTTTGAAACATCAACTATGCAAGTCGGGACAGGGATGAATAATTCTTTACAAATGGTTCACAATAGTACGCAGCTCGGGTGATTCGAAATACGGCTGCCTTCAGCGTTATAGTCAATGCAGGGTGACATGAATACCTCGTTGTTGCGCGCTAAATGTAAACTACACTGCTAGCTTGCTGATTGTGTAGTCTTATATTTCTTCTATGTCTTTTCCATACAGGTTGTCTAACGTTCATGGTGTACAACTTGTAGACCCTATAAGATGGATTTGATCCAGCTAGACGTACATTATTATTTTTTCTACATTATCCGGCATATATCATGTTGACACAACCCGTCTCTATTGTGGTATGATGTACTTTCAACACACACCCTGTCTTTATCCAATCAGGTCGCACGCTCTAGCGAGCGCGGGTTATTTGAAACGACGAGGCCACGTGAGTTGTAAAGCGCGCTCAATTCAAACTGGGCTGACGGGTACGGTCTGTCTATTTAGGGCAGCACGCTATACACATAGCTCTATTCATAACCCTTTACTTTTGTTTTCTTATGAATTCTTTTCTGCCTCATAAACACACACTTTCATTCCCCCTCACCTGTGACGTGCTGTTGATGCATGAGTCATCCTATCCGATCACGTGACTTGGATCAGCCAATCACCTTCCCTATTTTCCCTCAACCTCCCTCAACCAAAATGGCCTTCTGCGGACTGAGACTATACTATTCCCGTGATCTCTTCACGCAATGTCATTGAATAAGCCCAGCGATGTTGAGAGTTTCGAATATTTGTTTAGTAAATATAGCCTGCGGGGGCGCATTCAATCATCATTCGACCCTTTACGTTCATGAGGGATCATGAGGGTCGGGTACCCGGTTAGCGGGAGCTAGGTTACCCGAACTCTGTCCTTAGCCCTTTCACATTTACTTGGTACGTATACTGATTCAAAAGCGAACTCACCCTTGTGTCGTCAACAGCCATGCTTTTGCCTCTCTCGTTCCTTACTATTATCCACATTATCCTTACAGCGTTCCCTACTAAATGTTTCTAACCCGTTAAGATCCGGGGTAGAAGAGGTCTTCAGAAACCGATGTAAAAGGCGACTATGCTTGCCGTAAGAGGCGACGAACGGGATCAGGGGGGTCAGACTCGCTGACTTGGTTAATGCATGTCATCGATCCCAATTGCGTGGATCAATGCTCATGATGTCAATCACTGGATTGTCTGGTCCATACTCGAATATTCGAAGATCACCAGTTCGCGTCCGACTGATTCTCACTAAAACTGGTTGCTTGTCTTTGAGACGTATCCTACTTCTCCTCACGAGAAGAACTGTATTCTAAAGGTGCTCCAAATTATAATGCCCTGAAAAATACCTCTACCATTATTACAGCTAAATGGATGAAGTTTGTGACTCATCCCAAAATGACCAAAAAGCAACATGAAATTTATGGTTGTATTAAAAAACTCCACAAAAAAAAGAATGCCAGATGACGTCACAAAAAGAAACGTGACGCCAATGACGTCACATAACAACAGAACAGATGGCAGCCCGTCGTAAGGGAAATGCGGGGAAATGCGGGCTGCTATGAAATCTTATTGTGATACATCTATTAAGAATCTTGCATTTCCATTGGTTAATCCGTACCACGTGACGAAACAATAAATTTCAATGCACTCTCCTACCTTGCGACCAGCACAGGACCTCTGCCACAGGCCAGTGCCATGTGACGATTCGTCACATCTTACACAGTCTATTCAAGATATTGCATATGTTTTTCACCTGTTTCATTTTTGACACGTCTACATATCTAGATAAACATATGTCATAGAATGGTAAACTTTCTTTGAGAAAATATCCTATTGCGTAGTTATCGTATGTTTACATTTGTTGTACGGCTCCACATGCTGTCATCGAAGCCTTACGGAGAGCAAGCGATACGGTCACTTTGACGTGTAAATATGTATTGTCATGCAACTCACTGTCGCCGTTGTAGTAGCATATCTATATAATTATGCAAAACAATATGCAAAGCGCCCCAAAATACTTGCATCAGTCCGTTCTATTCTGATTTCTGAATAAGCGCGTTTGTTTACAAACAGGAGAAATGTCCGGTCACGTGACATGCAAAGTATCCTGTGGCAGTAGTGTTATGCTTAGTCACCACTATGTCAATGAAACCCCCAAATAATGTGACTGACACTGACCTCGAATATTGACTCGTGACATGATCAGTATTGACCTGTTACGTGATGAATATTGACTCACAAACAAAGACTTCACAAACTTGAATGTCGGTAAAACAACACGTATGGTTACTCTTGACGAGGTCAATATGCGAAAACAAGGTTCCTCGATGTCGACCCCGTCGGCGGTCAGACCACCTCAAGGGTTGGGTCCTTCGCATATTGACCTTGTCAAGTGTACTTTTTTGTATAATATTGACAGTAGGGGTGACCTCGCCTAGATGAACACAACCAAGCTCACTATCGTTAATTTCCCTATGACGTTGTTAATCGAGCGGAAAGATACAGAACGACTTTAGGGGAATTCCTAAATGTCTAAAAATAACGTCAGCATACGATTCAGGCTGTGAAGGATGAAGGCTTTGAAGCCAGACAAATCATTATATGTCGGGTCAGGAGAATTAAGCGTCCATTCGAAGTTGCAAAAGAGAATGCTCTACTCACCAAAAGAATTCACAAAGCTCCACACTATCGAGTAGGCCAATATGCATCGGGACTTCACAGGGAGCCGCCTCAAGCGGTGATCCCCATCATCATCAGGAGCGCCTCCAGCCTAAGTATAACACAAACCCAAAGATCACAGAACGTTTATAGGAACCTATTTTCAGAACCAACCGGATCTAGATTTCTTTCCAATTCTAGCTTTACTAGGTGCAACTGCTATTATAAATGAATGACATTGCCTTAGCCGCCACGTCAATGGACGTACCTGCAATGGAATGTGTGAGACGGATGACGTCACGATAAAAAGCAACTCTCCGCGTTAAAATAGTTCGCTTCAAATAATTAAAATTCGGTGTTCAAAAGGATTGTTTTGTTATGATTTATTTATCCGTCGAAATAAGAATTGAAATTGTATTTGTTGGCGTTCATCCTGGAACTTAATCACGTGAGGTGATGAACGTCAACCAACACAACTTCAGTCCTAAAGTGACCCGCGGATTTCTGATAACATGCGGGGTTTTAAGATAATTCTATCATCTGTATCTATAATCATACATAATCTTCTATTTCAGGCGAGGTCGGCAGCGGACGAGGCGGACCGGATCCCTACAAACACTCACTGTGCGGCGTGCCAAACCAGATCAGCTGATGGCGTGTTCTGCCAAGACTGCAAGGAGTATCTATGTGGCCTGTGCGGGAAGAAACACCAGGCGGTGTTCAACGGCCATGACGTCACAGAGAACATGGCCAATGTCCCCACCGCCAAGTGCACAGACCACCCTGGGAAGACGGTCAACTTTTTCTGTTCCCACTGCGCAGCCGCCGTGTGTCCACTCTGCGCAACCAGCTCTCACTCCGAGGCGCCGCACAGAGTTACCCCCCTTGTGGAAGCAAAGAATGAGGTCGTGGAGCTTGTAAAAGGCAAACTTCTCACTCTGAAAGACAAGAAGAAGAAACTTTCAGGAGCCCAGGACAGGGTCGATAGGATGCGGCAATCAGCGGTAGATAACTATGCTCTACAGAAAGGCATGGTAGAGTCCACAGCTAACGACGCTGTGCGGAGAATACGCGAGGAAGAACGAAACCTGCAAAGGAGGATCCAGGATCTCCATGACAACAACATCAAGATGCTTGACCAACAGGATCGCTCAGTGGAAGAGAAATCCACCTCGCTGGATACTACCCTGAATCAAGTCGAGGCAGTGTTGAATGACATCAACATATCAGACTTCCAGAGCAGGAGTCTTCAGGTGGAGCAGAGGCTGAGAGAAATAGAAGATTGGTCGAATGCTGTGGACAGGGACCTGGCCATCCACGACTACACCTTCAAGGGAGACGGGAACTGTATCGGTCTGGGGTGCATCACGTTGCCCAAACATGGCTCCTACACTGATATAGACCTCCTGAAGTCTGGTGTATACGAGGAGGGGGAGGAGTTGGTGGTGGAGGAGGAGTTGGTGGAGGAGGTGGAGGTGGAGGAGGTGGAGCGGGAGGAGATGGAGCGGGAGGAGATGGTGGAGGTGGAGCAGGTACAGAGGCGGAGGAGGCCAGAACAACCTGAACCCCTACCAAGGCCTGTGATGAGAGATCAGACAGAGCGGAAGGCCTATATTGTAGGGACTCCTATGCTGGTATCAAGCTACGTGCTGGGGAGCGGGGTTGACAGCAGTCCCATCACCATGGTCGGAGTCGGGCTGATGCCGCATGATGAAGTGGTCTGCGCCTACAACACAAACATCATGGGCCAGGTCGTGATGTGTTCCAGCGTCGACAAGCAGCAGGTGGTGTACCACAGGAGAAAGGGCATTGCTGCGTTCGCCATGTACAGAGAGGAAGAGTGTGGGGTGGTCCTCTATGACGACTGTAACGCGAGTCGGCTGTTCCTCAACCCCCTTCCCTCAGACCGGGAGGCCACGTGCAGGACGCACAAGATCAGCTGTAAGGTAGCCAACATCGGAGCCCTGGCCTTCCATCTCGACGGTGTCATTGTCCTCTTCGACAAGGACAAAAAATGCCTCACAGGCATCGACCGCCAGAGCAAGCGCCCCTTCAACCTACAGGGCAACCGGAACGAGAAGGACGGATGTTTCAGCACCGTTACTGCTCTCGCTAGCGGCCCACAGGGGGAGATAATCCTGTATGATGGTGAGAAGCGTCGCCTGGCTATCTTCAGTAGTGATACTAAGTTTCTGAACTACATCGACCTGGGCAGCCTCAGCTCCTCCTGCAGCATTGACTGCGACGACTACGGGATGTTGTTTATTGCCGACAGAAAGCAAGGCAGGGTCGTCAGGTGCGCCATCTCTGGCCAGGAGGACATCGTGGAAGTGTTGAATGCGACCCATGGCATCACGTATCCCTGCTGCCTGTGTGTCAGCGACACCAAGCTGGCCGTGGGGAATGCCAAGTCTTTCAGTGAAGGGGAAATCCGTGTATTTGAATTAGGTGTGTTTGTGTCAAATGATTGATGTCCGAAGCTTGTTGTCAGCACCGAAGATGCCATGCCAAATGTTGTCCTTTTGTTCACATGAGATCCTCTATAACTGTTGGGGCGGTCGGGTACTCACTCACTCACTCTATAACTGTTACAGAGGGGGAGCATCTGGCTGAACATCTGGATGACCTCTTTTCCCGGGATCTGCTGCTTTTCAGTTCCAAGAAAAGAACGCCATCGCACACTGAGATTCCGACGCACTGCCAACATCAGATAAAGCATACCAGGAATATTAAAACATAGTACCATAGAGAATCCAACCCAGGTCGGTGTGACGAGTGAATACTTTAAGCAGGCGGCTAACCTGCGTACATGATGGCTATTCCGCGTTATTGCAAGGGCATGGCACCAACAACAGGTGTGACGTCATCTCCGCGAACTTTGGTCCACAAGTTCAAGGCTCTAGGCTGGGCTCCGTCTCTTCATATCATTGGATGAAGCGCAGCGATAGGAAGGATATAGCCTGGTTCTACAGTCGAGTATCATTATGACGGACTAATTAAGATCCATCGCGTTGGGGGACCAATGAGGAGCAGTGTTACATTGTGACAAGTGTACCTTGTACGTCTTGACCTTTGCAAACTCAAAGAATTATATGGCGGTCGTTGTCCTGTGCACAGCGCACAAACCACAAGTCGGGTTAATTTAAGCAACGTCGGTCGCTGAGTGTTGCTGGATGAGTGACCGTGTTTAGCAGCTGGGCTCCTGAGAGTGTCTAGGGCTTCGGTCCCGCCCCACACTGAAGCACATGTAGCACCCCGTGCCCCCAAGTTACAAAAGAGAATGCTCTACTTACCAAAAGAAATCACATGCTCCACACTATCGAGTAGGCCAACATGCATGGGGACTTCACACGGAGCCGCCTCAAGCGGTGATCCCCATCATCATCAGGAGCACTCCAGCCTAAGTATGACACCAACCCAAAGTGCACAGAACGTTTACAGGAACCCATTTTCAGAACCAACCGGATCTCGATTTCTTTCCAATTCTAGCTTTACTATGTGCAACTGCTATTATAGATGAATGACATTGCCAATGGACGTACCTGCAATGGAATGTGTACATGTCAGACGGATGACGTCACGATAAAAGGGCTTCGGTCCCGCCCCACACTGAAGCACATGTAGCACATGTGGTGTCTCCTTAGGCACGTAACTTTGTTCGAAAGGTGCCTCTGTTCATCCAGCAGTGAATGGGTACCCGGTAGGATGTGATTGTCAACCTTCTCGCGTAACAGCATGGGATGTACACTCTCCGGGAAGCCGAGAGTGAAAATTAAGCGCAAACTAAACAATTCACCTTTGTAATATTGTAGCGCTTTAAGCATATTTTAGTGTGTACATAAATATGTACATTAATATTATTATTGTTACTGTTGTTGTTATTTGTGTACCATCAACTCCGCCGGACATCAGGACACAACGATACATCACGTCGACAGGCAGTCTACCGCTGGGGTGAGCTTGTACATCTCTGCGCCCATTGTCCCAACCTCTAGGCGCATGCGTGGAAGAACCTGTCGGACCAATCAGCTGTTTCCCCCGATTGTATACCGTTATGTCCCTGCACATTATGACACTGATTACACGTAACACTATTATCTGTACAGGTTTTTGTGATAAAAACTACGGTTCCTGAAATCAGTTTGGTGCAGATGACCATATCAGCACAGTTTTTTGTGATATAACTGCCATTCCTGAAATCTGTGGAGTATGGATGACGATATTATTATTGTAAAAAATATTAATGTCCCGAGAAGCGTCCATAAACGTGTATTCAGAATCAGTTGACCTACATGAAGTGGCAGAGCTGTGGGTGAATGTGGCGGACTCCACCTCCAACTTATGTGCCACGGATGATCACATAATAGATACATCGCAAGAGATTCCGTGACATTTGGCTTACAAAGAATTGGGGTTTTTTCATTTTTTTTTCAATTAACCGTAAAAATAGGCCACGCCCACACGGACTACTGTGTCCTGATTGGCTGATAATAGAATGGGCGGGGCTTCTGCTGCATTATTCCGCTGAGCGATGTGACTGAGTTCATGATGTTGTCGACAGTTTGTTTGTGTTCGTGATTAAATAAGTTGTCTGAAGTTATCATAGTTCACGTTTTGGCTGATAAGAATTGTCTTCAATGTGTATTTGCGTTGTGATCGAAATGTGTCAGCATGTCAATTTATCAAAATAAATCTTTTCATATTTCATAAATTGAACGCCCATATAATAATATGAGAATTACCAACGAGCTTATTGTCCTTGATGAGCGAACCCAACGAGGGATCTCTGACATCAATTTCCGAGGGAAATATATACCGTGATTCCCAGTTTATTCCAGAGTTGTTTTTCTTTAAAATTATCAAATGTACATCATTAGGTCTCATCCCAAACCACCTGCAAAATGTCGAGGTGCTAGAACCCTAGACAAATGTATCCCTACGCATCAGTAAACAAGCGACCTTGTCACGACACACCCGATTATTAACAACGGTTCACTACTACCGTTCCTACTTATATACTGGTACATTTACACTTACACAAACACAACACGCGCAAGGTAAGAAACGTGTTGTTGCATGTAATTCATTAACTGACACCTGTGGGTAAAGGTGTGTAACAAGACCAGTGTCCCGGCGGGGAGCGGAAGGTCGGGGGTTCGATCGCCGGAAATTCCAAAGGACGTTATAAGGTGGTACTTGTTGTTACCGCGCCTGGCGCTCGGCATTTAGGCGCTTAAGCAAGGACTGGTAGCCTCGGAGTGAGTATACTGTGACTTAGTGGGGTATTCACGTTAAACTGCGGTGATGTATCTCAGAGGTCTAGTACTATAACAATGCATTAGTCCGTACTAGTATATGCACACACACACACACACACACACACACACACACACACACACACACACACAAACACACACACACACAAACACGCGCGCGCACATCCCTCCCCCCCCCCCCCCACATCTACACATCCACCACCACCCCAAAACACCCACACGCACGCACGCCCGCACGCACGCACACACTCTCACACACAAACACATACACACACAAACACGCGCGCGCACACCCCTCCCCCCTCTACACAAAATTAGAACATAAATGTCAACTGATGTTCCTTACAAACAGTGTTCTCTGCCCCTAGGACATCTTTCATAGAACTCGTTTCCACCTTTCAAACCCAGGAAAGAACAGCGGCTTCATGCCCCGCACGTGACAAGTTCTCCACTTATATGACCTGACACACTTCCTTAATGAATACCTACATGTACATCATGCCAGGATTTTGTCAAAACACGCTTGGAAATCTCTGCTCAACTTAGGGCAGACTACAAAAAGTCAAATGGCTGTAACACGTATGGAGTACTGTAAGGGACATTCTCGCGATCTCGACCTTTGGAAACGAGGTAAATATGCCCGCGAGATTTGGACAAAATTTTTCGTTCTCGCGATCTCGCATTCTCCTGTTTTTGGTAGATAGCACTTTTTGTCAAAAGTCGACAACGCGAGAATGCGACATTTGGACATAATGCAAAATCTCGCAATCTCGACTTGTCAAATTAGGCCACAAAAACACGAAATCGCGAGAACGGGAGAATGCGACATTTAATTTTCTCGCGACTTAATATCTGAACCAGAAATCAGGACCAGTGAGAATCTGGACACTAGCTGGAAACAGACATTATATCCAGCGGTATGCATGATGTGCACAACTGTGGGTGGCTGTGCCTCAAGATGCAGCGACAAAATGTGACCTCTGTGACGAGGAGGTCATAACTGAGTGAGTGAGTCAGTATGTTTTAACGCCGCTTTAAGCAATACTCCAGAAATGTCACGGCGGGGGACACCAAAAATGGGCTGCACTCATTGTACCCATTTTGGTATTCGAACCCGGGTCTTCGGCGTGACGAGCGAACGCTTTGACCACTAGGCTACCAGACTGCTCCTGGTGTATCAGGATCCCGTCAAGCATGTCCTGACATCGTGTCACTCTCTCAGGAACACTTACGACCAGTTCTGGGCAAAGCTATGACGTCATCCCCCTCAGGGCCGCGTTCCTCAAAGCGATCTTAGCGCTAAGATGATCGTAAGCCTATGTTGAAGTAGGGGACTTACGATCACCTTAGCGCTAAGATCGTTTTGAGGAACGGGGCCCTGGAGTTGTATTGCCCTCCCCACAGAGCAGATGTTGAAACTCGTGTGCAACATCTGACATGGACATTGAACTACCATTCCATGAGATGTGTGAGTACGGGTGTAGTTCTGAAATGCCAGCTGTGGTAAGAGAACTTACCATCATGAGATACCACGCATGAAACAAAGCAATCTTAGCGCTACGATTGTCGTAAGTCAATGTTAAAGTATGGGAGTTACGATCACCTCAGCTCTATGATCGCTTTGTGGAACAGGGCCCTGGGTTCCTTGGGCCACGTGACATGCAGACCTAACAGGTGCGTGTCCTTAAAGTGTGTCATGTTTCATGTTGATGTCTTCTCACCTGAGTTCACGGACACGTCTTACCTTAGTGTCCCTGTCTCACTGCTGTCCAAGTCTGTGCCAGTATTAATCATACAATCTCCCAAAGGAGCAAATAAAGAGGATAGTGTTTTTCCCACCATGAAATATGGCTCGTGCTTGCGACTTCACACGAAATTGACGTTTGTTGATCTGGTCCCAGTGGCAGGCCATGTGTATTCAACACCGAGTGAGTTCAATGCATGAGATTTGTTTGTTTGTTTGTTTGTTCAACGCCGCACTCAGCAATATGCCATGTATATGACGGCGGTCTCTAAATAACCGAATCTGGACCTGATAAACCGATGGTTGATATTGTGAGCAGTAACGCACGCCCTCGGGTCACGGCAACACGCAAACAACAAGGCCACTGAGCCAATCGATCCGTTCAGTCGCATCTCACTACAAGCAGGTTGAGTGAGTGAGTGAGTGAGTGAGTGAGGTCAGCTTGATGATCTTACACACATCTACAGAATTGATTATAATCGGGGCCTGAATTACCTCCCTTGGTCGTTTCAGGCCTAGGAACCTCTGATCTAGAAATCGCCCCGACTATTGGTGTGTGGGTGTGTGGGTGGGTTTGTAATCGAACAATATAAACTGTCGCTGAATATGCTGAGAAGAAATGAACAAAGTATGCTTCAGACAGATGGAAAAAGAAGAAGATTTTGACCAAAAAAAAGCATTGTGAGATGGCTTTAAGTTTTTTATACGTACGTTCATAGTTTAACTCAGCAAAATATCTAGTCTCCATTTTCTCACAAAATTCAAGATCACCCACTGACACACACCCCTCTCACCACCGGGTCCCACCCCAGCAACGTCTGTAACCTGCGCCATGCAAACCCACACACTCCAATCAAGTTTTCGGGGCGGTCGGGTAGCCTAGTGGTTAAAGCGTTCGCTCGTCACGCCGAAGACCCGGGTTCGATTCCCGACAAGGGTACATTTCTGGTGTCCCCCGCCGTGATATTGCTGGAATATTGCTAAAAGCGGCGTAAAACCATACTCACTCACTCAATCAAGTTTTCACAGTGATACGACTGGGATACGTTTAAAGCGGCGTCAAAATAGAACCCCTCAAGAGAGACAGTAAGAAGCTGGCACATATGCCGCTCTACGTCACAACACAAACACATGGAGTATAAAAAAATAATTTATTAAATACCCAAAAGGAGCATTTCCCTCAAAAATAGATCTTTTCATTCCGACGGTTTACGAGAGGTCTCGGAGATTACCGACTCCATATACCACGTGACTGTTTCATACTTTGATCTCGCGTTTTTGCAAAGTTTCTGCATAGGTGCATAATTATAAACTTCGTGGTATTTGAGTCTGGTAATCCGGCAGCATGCAGACACTTCGGTATGAAAGACATATTTTGTATATAATAGCAAGTCTATCATCCTCTTGTCACGTGGGTTAATCACAATGAAAATATATCTTTTAACAAAATATGAGATCGGAAAATGTTCAAACGCAAATGAAATACTCATGTTTGAGATTTTCACATTATTGAAATGAACCCCGACATACAATCCCAAATACATGCATATGACGTCACAAGAGTACCATAGTTGATGACGTCACATTAATACCATGGCTGATGACGTCAAGAGTTATCACAGTGCGATACAGCAGGCCGACACAGACAATCACACTCACTGACAACCAGTGCTTAGATACAGGGATCACGTGACCCTGTCTCGAGGACGCGATTCCAACAAAAATAATTATGTCCCACAATCAATCATGTCTTGTATTTTTCGCATCTCATCTGTCAATGTACCTGACACTGTCCTGTTTCTCTTCAGTGAGATCTGAAGATGGGAGTTATCTCCCCTGGTGTTCTAATACTCGAAAGAGTACCCGTCAGACCCGAACCCTGCCCTCTTCGGTTATCTCCCCTTTCCTTGTTCACCGTTCAGCTGTCACGTACTTCTACAGCTAGTGATAGTCCCAGTATATATAGTCCCCGATATTGCACAAGGACCAGTGAGGTGTCAGGTGTCTATACAATCTCCGATGTGATGTTTAAACGATGAATGGAGTGAGTGAGTGAGTGAGTGAGTGAGTCGGAAGGTTTGGACCAAACTTCAATTGTATCTTTTCAGACTGGGGACGTTTCTACGTCAGACATGTTTGAGATATGTTTCAGACTTGAATTCTGTTCTATTCCTGGAGTCGACCCGGTGTTCTGTGAGTTCAGGGCCGCTTTGAACAGTTTTCCGGTTATATCACTGCGTGTCAGCTCTATGCGGAAGGAAGGCCGGAAGTGGTAGGAAAGCACTGGTCGGTGATATGACAAGCCATGAAACAACCCCCCCCCCCCCCCAACACACACACACTCACACACTCCAGAAAATGCAATGGTCGGTACTACAGGGGTCTCCCCCTGCATCGTGTTAGACGTGTCCAAAGTATTGTTCAAAGTTTCACAAAGAATTCGTGCAAATAGTTTCTAACATATTCCAGCCATTGCGGATTACAGAGCGGATTACAGTGCAAATATTATCAAGTGGATACCACAGTATGAACAATGCCGCTTCAATCTATTAACACCAGAATGAGTCAAGGCACATGTTGTATTCATTGCTTCCATTGGTTGAACCAACGTCACGTGGCACAGTTGCTGTAATTTGATTGGATGACACACATCTCCTAACCTCTGTTGGTTCCATGACGTCGCATGTCACGTGAATGAGTTGAGTTGTATTTGCTGGGCACCGGATTCCTTGATGGCATCGCCAGGTCTGCCCGATCCGCAGTGTGCTTGTCATGTCGTCTACCGAGATGAGTATTATTTCCAGATTGTTTGTGCCTTGGTTTGACTATAGGTCCATGTTTTATATCAACCCGACCGTGTGTAATTTTCCTGCCGTTTCCGTTGACAGCCATTGTTGTATTGTTGCTGTGCCCATGACTGGTTCTATGTTTGCCCTTCTCTCTGGGACTCTTACGCATGGGGACACTGTGCAATTGCTTTCCTTTTCCAGCAGGCGCATGCGCAAGAGGGATTTTAACACCACGTTTTAAGCGTTCAGAGTCGTCACCGTTATTGCCCATTGCCACGCCCACATAGACATTGACACTGGGAGCGAGTTTCGGCTTCCTGAGCACTGCGAGGGACGAGACCACGACGAGAATTGAAACTGCCAAAACCAACAGGAGAAACAAGCTTCGGAGTGCCTGTATCTGCATACTTGATATATCGTCACCATGGCAACTCTCAGTTTCACCTTCGGCCATGTTGGTTATATCCATACCCTTTGTCCGCTTCCTCTCTGTAGTCGACTTCATTCGCCCTGACCCTCACGCGGCCATCTTCCTGTGTCGTGACGTGGATCAACAGAAAGGTCAACCAGTGACGCACAGATATTGCAAATTTCCTGTCCTGTACTCATCTGACATGGCGTCCGAGTGCGTGTTGCGTTCCCTTGTCACAGTAAGGAGTAGGTGGGTGCTGGAGCTTCTGTGTAGAGTCGACGACCAGGGCTGTCGTCAGTGTAGTTGCCGTGTCGTGGTCACCTTCCCCCCACGCCACATCAGTCCTGCAACACAGAATACACACGTCAGGTACACGACTACGATTGATATTTGTGTCTTGATTTACTCCCAGCTGAGAAATATTCCAGGTCTATGCTGGCGTCCTGTGAACCCAGTGAATGACATTGTGAGCAACGATATACACAAATAGGGTACGATTATCAACCATATCACTGAGCCTTGCCACCCGATCCAATAGCAATGCTCCTACAATCAGCTGAGGTTGTTGGGGACCAATTCTAACCTGGGTCCACTTGCACAAAGCGATCTTAGCGCTCCAATTATTGTAAATCCTTAAGATCGCCATCTTAGGCTTCGGCTACAATCGTCATCCACTTGCACAAAGCGATTGTAGGCTTAGATCATTGTAAGCTACAATCGAAATTTACAATTGGTCCGGACCAATCTTAAGTAGCTAAGATCGTTGTAGTCCCTGAATAAACTTGACAAAATGGCGTGCAAGGCTTGGTCTGTTTCACATAAATAATCTGCTTTACGTTCAAACATTGCCTCTTTTTTTTGTTAAACTTTATAATTCGAATCGACACTTTAACAACATGAAGAACGCACCACAGGTTTAACGTCAGAAATATCGTTAATTACCATAGTTAAACACGTAACTATCGAGTCGATAGCTAAAAGGAATACTCTCATCCGACTCAATACTGACAGAAATGTGAAACAACATACCTTTTCGCTGAACAAGGGAAGGATCAAAACCTAAGTCGTCCCGCAAGCGATTTGTAACGTCCGTGACCTTTTCGATAAATCAAGGGCAGCTAATCTTAGTTTATACTCTAGATGGGAGTGGTTTCCCTTTGTATCAGCCCGTAGAGTACAATCTACCTTACCCAGTGTATCAATGTTGTTGAATCGCTGGGCTTCCCCTATATTTCTTTTGGGTCACATTCGTGTCAGTTATTTTGTCTTTAGTTTATCATGAAATTAAACTACAAATAAATACAAGCTGAAGAGCAAATCATAAATGTTTAAATCTAAAATCAAATGGGACGGGGACGAGCGGTTAAATATCAGAGTTTAAAAGAAGAAAATACAAGTATTCATCAAACAAGCAAATATACATGATGAAACATTTGATTCCTTTGCAAAATATCCCATAAATAGCAAAAATAAAATTTACATTATTAAAAAATTTAAAAAAAAAATTAATACCTAGGGAATATATGTAAACAATTGCTTTCTCGAAACATTATTCATTATTCTTATTTCCCGCCTATGCGTTTTTGAAAGTTCCCGTCTTTCTGTGTTTTGAAATGGTAGTCATAACATCCTTTGTTGTAGCAACGAAACGAAAACATGAAGGATATATTTAGGATTTTACGAAAAACTCCCCAAATAGATGACGATCATACATTTACACGTTATGGTTTTAGGAAATATCATTATTATTTATTTTAATTTTCATAATAATTGTGTTACTAAATAATGTATATATTCGTATTTCAATACTTTGAATAAAAACATGAGTAGGTATTTCTCTTGTTGAAACAAGTCCTAAATCACGACATTATTAATCCCGACAAGAATATATGCCTTCATTCTAGTAATCGTTTCCTTCAAATAATGGAGGGAGGTACGTGTTGCGTGTCGTTACCGGATCCACTTATTGTACGCGCAGCAAACTATGCTTGTTTGCAGACAACTGTAGACAGGAGTCGAGTTTAACATATTCGTACCTCCACAGTTGAAGATTTCAATCTTAGCTAAGATCGCGATCTTAACTCCAAGCCGTCTTACAATCGCGCTAAGATCGGTTTGTGCAAGTGGACAACTGTATTGTGATTGTAAAGTTGATTATGGCTGCCTTAGATCGATTGTAACTAAGATTGTTCTGTGCAAGAGGGCCCTGGACAACTCAGGGTCAACGAAGCTCAGGAACTCGTCACAGACTGCCCCAGTATCACGTGTCTCGCCTTACACATGAACGTCGGATTTTGATTGACCGAGGCCCATTCCATTATTTTCCATATGTCCTGCTAACATGTAGGGTACATTTCTAACGTTAACCTCTGGAATTGCCATTACATTTGCAAAATACCAAATTCTATTTTGTATCTCGAATTAATCGTGCAAGCCGCCATTTTCCGGATCTTTACGATATTTTCCGATTGAAATATATATCTTGAGGGAATAATTCTATGTTTATTGCGATAAATGTGAAAAATGAACGAAATGGACAAATGCCTAACTGTGGTATTCTTACCGATTCGGACAGGAGCATGCATACACGACAGATATATGCAAATACCTGCAATACAGTCCAGTGTTCGGTTAGATACATGTGTTCTCTACCGGTCCCCGGCCGGGTGACATGAGTCGATGTACCGTCCATGTTAGTTTATCACTAACACAGAGGGTACATCAACCCCTTTGGGGCCTGGGCACAGTTTACAAGAATTGCTCACTGCATATCTACAGCTTGTGACATCAGCTGTTTCAGCTGTATCGATACGTTCTCTGACGTTATGTCTGCCCCATGGGAGACTGTGTTAGAGAAGAGTGAGTGAGTGAGTGAGTGAGTGAGGCTTTACGCCGCTTTTAGCAATATTCCAGCAATATCACGGCGGGGGACACCACAAATGGGCTTCACATATTGTACCCATGTCGGGAATCGAACCCGGGTCTTCGGCGTGACGAGCGAACGCTTTAACCACTAGGTTACCCGACCGCCCCGTTAGAGAAGATCCCCTGCAGTGTGTGCTGCTCGTAAGAGGCTCGGCGACTTTGTACATTGAGTGTCATTGTACCTCCAACAACCTGGATAGGTGTTCATAATATCAGTCACTGGATTATCTGGTTTCATCGACAAACTTTTGTCATATAGCCGGAATATTGCCGTATGCGGCGTAAAACAACAACAAAAACCTGCTGGCGTTAGGTCACTGAAATTAAAGGATATTATAATCATGTCCTAGTAAATTATAATAATCACAACAACAAAAACTATTGATTAAAAACACATCAATCGCCATTACGCAACAACGTGTGTGTACATCTGTACTGAACAAACACTCAAGCATTATGGGTATTTTGAGGGATTATTTATGAAATCTTCTTCACTACAAAAACATATTCCCCAATATATCCCTAATCCATAATTTTTATTGTCCGGTATATATAACACGCCTTATGAACATATTCCCTGCAGACCCATACTTGCCGTAAAATGCGGCTATGAGTGTCGTAAGAGGCTACTAACGGGATCGGGTGATCAGGCTCGCTGACTTGGTTGATGCATGTCATCGTATCCCAATTGCGTGGATCGATGCTGATGTTCTTAATCACTGGATTGTCTGGTCCACACTCGATTACTTACAGACCGCCGTCATATAGCTGGAATATTGCTGAGTGCGGCGTTAAACAACAAACAAACAAACATACATTCCCTGCAGTTGACACTATGGCTGCTGAACAAGGAAACACGCTTAATGCCTTCCGTCGACCTCAGGCATAGTCAGAGATGTCGCCGCACCTGGAGGCTGCAGAGTACTGGCGCACACAGTTGCTGAGAAGACGACCATGGTGACAAGAAAGACAACATGGATGTCGGGCATGTGAGGTGTGGCATTAAGCAAGTCTATCATGATGTCAAGCATGTGAGGTGTGGCATTAAGCAAGTCTATCATGACGTCAAGCATGTGTGTTGTGGCATTAAGCAAGTCTATCATGATGTCAGGCATGTGTGTTGTGGCATTAAGCAAGTCTATCATGATGTCAGGCATGTGTGTTGTGGCATTAAGCAAGTCTATTATGACGTCAAGCATGTGAGTTGTGGCATTAAGCAAGTCTATCATGACGTCAAGCATGTGTGTTGTGGCATTAAGCAAGTCTATCATGATGTCAGGCATGTGTGTTGTGGCATTAAGCAATTCTATCATGATGTCAGGCATGTGTGTTGTAGCATTAAGCAAGTCTATCATGACGTCAGGCATGTGTGTTGTGGCATTAAGCAAGTCTATCATGATGTCAGGCATGTGTGTTGTGGCATTAAGCAAGTCTATCACGACGTCAGGCATGTGAGGTGTGGCATTAAGCAAGTCTATCATGATGTCAAGCATGTGAGGTGTGGCATTAAGCAAGTTATCATGACGTCAAGCATGTGAGGTGTGGCATTAAGCAATTCTATCATGACGTCAAGCATGTGTGTTGTGGCATTAAGCAAGTCTATCAAGACGTCAAGCATGTGTGTTGTGGCATTAAGCAAGTCTATCATGATGTCAAGCATGTGAGTTGTGGCATTCAGCAACTCTATCATGATGTCAAGCATGTGAGGTGTGGCATTAAGCAAGTCTATCATGACGTCAAGCATGTGTGTTGTGGCATTAAGCAAGTCTATCAAGACGTCAAGCATGTGTGTTGTGGCATTAAGCAAGTCTATCATGATGTCAAGCATGTGAGTTGTGGCTTTAAGCAAGTGTATCATGACGTCAGGCATGTGAGTTGTTGCATTAAGCAAGTCTATCATGATGTCAAGCATGTGAGTTGTGGCATTAAGCAAGTCTATCATGATGTCAAGCATGTGTGTTGTGGCATTAAGCAAGTCTATCACGACGTCAAGCATGTGAGTTGTGTCATGAAGCAAGTGTATCATGACGTCAGGCATGTGTGTTGTTGCATTAAGCAAGTCTACCATGACGTCAGGCATGTGTGTTGTTGCATTAAGCAAGTCTATTATGACGTCAAGCATGTGAATTGTGGCATTAAGCAAGTGTATCACGACGTCAGGCATGTGAGTTGTGGCATTAAGCAAGTGTATCACGACGTCAAGCATGTGAGTTGTGGCATTAAGCAAGTCTATCATGATGTCAAGCATGTGAGTTGTGGCATTAAGCAAGTCTATCATGACGTCAGGCATGTGTGTTGTGGCATTAAGCAAGTCTATCATGACGTCAAGCATGTGAGTTGTGGCATTAAGCAAGTCTATCATGACGTCAGGCATGTGTGTTGTTGCATTAAGCAAGTCTATCATGACGTCAAGCATGTG